AGATGGCACTTTCCAGTGGAGCGGTACGAATAAGTGCATCGACCTCACTGATGGGAAGATTACGGACGGCAATGTGCTCCAAATTTACACGTGCGACAGCAAGAACGCTAACCAGAAGTGGCTCGGCGATCCCAATCCCGACAATGAGCGGTGAGTCCGAGTCCTTCGAGCCCATATACCATGAAACAGAACTTAAATTTCCGAAGAGCTGTCCACATCACTGGCGGTGACTGTAAGCATTTATTTGACTTTGCCGTTATCACTTCTGAACAACCTCGCCGCAGTCTCTGCTAACGGAGGCGGCCCTTACTGTGTTGCCGCGACTGCCAACGCGAACGGCGCAGAGGTCGCCCTTGTCGCGTGCCTCAACTCAGACTTCCACACCACCTTTCCTGATGGCAACATCACCTGGAGCGTCCCAATTGCACCTCTCACTGGCCCGCTGAAAACGTTCGACGGCAAGTGCCTCGACGTGCCCAGTGGTGCGACGCAGAATGGTGTCAAGCTCCAGGTCTGGGACTGCTTCGCCGAAATCCCGAACCAACTCTTCCAAACTGTCGGCAAGCAGATCAAATTTGCTGGAACAAGCAAGTGCCTCGACCTGACCGACGGAAACTCCGCCAGCGGCACCCCTGTGCGTGTCTCCCTCAATTCGACTTGGTGGCTTGCTAAACTCATCTATTGCAGATCCAACTGTGGGATTGCGTCGTACCCGACAACAACCCCAACCAAGATTGGTTCCTTAGCAGTGTTTAAACCGCACTGGTATAAACTGCACTTTGTAAATTCTTGCACCACACTCCTTTCAACCCCGGACATTATAGCTACCTTGCAAATTTAATTTATTGTGTTAGCCAATTATGATTGACTTGTTGTGTCGACGGAATTGCGGTCGTCTCTCCCTGTTTAAAAATCGCCTTCTCCGGAAGTTGACTTTCAGGCTATCACTTACAGTCCTCTACTGATTGTGTCGAGGTATATACTACACAGGCAATGCAACATCAGGGTTCGGGCATCTCGGTCATGTTCAACCCGAATTTCCGCCAAAATAGAAGGACAAATACGCATTATGTTCTGCTACAGACTATCAGAACTCCCTTTCCCCGGAATTCTCGACGTTCCTGCACCTACCAGCACTCGAGCCTAGCTTGAGGATTTTGCGATTCGATGATTTGGAAGTGGAAAGGCCGCGTACATACCTGATGAGAACAAACTAAAAAGTATTGAATGAAGTGAGGGACAAAAATAGTAATAGGAAGGCCTGGTGGTGTATAGTTGCACACCTGCCATGCATAAAAAAGGTAGTCTGTAGTTTACCGCGCCATTGGTGATTGCTCACCGACCTTATTACTAATAAAGCGGGTAAGGCCGACGAGCGGCACGGCCTCTTGCCGGCTCCTCTTCTTCAAGCCAGGGTACTCGGCCCATAGCGTCACTGGTCACCGGTTTTGAACTGGCCTTCTCTTGACCTCCTTCTGCATTAGTCAGCCAGTCACAAGTGAATTAAGAACCGAGTAGTTCATTTTCATCTCCCGCGTGATGATACTACTATTTCGACCGAATGTTCACCATTTTTAGATTTTCGTCGACCGAGGTGGCCGATAATTTTTCTTTTGAATTATAGCGATTTTTAGGCACATCAAAAAAAATTGGGTGTCATCGTCACCTGAACATTTGGTCGAAATAGTACAGTACATATACCTCGTCTCCCTTCTAATGCCCCTATCCGCGAGCTCACACAGAACAATGAAGAGAACAACAATGATTTTTCGATGACCTACATAACCTAAATTGAGTAACTTCGCAAGGCATGTTCTTTGGAGAAGCACGACCCTTTCCGTCGGAGCTCCGAGAACCAGACGCGCTCACACATGTCCGCAGTACCATCGACATTCCACGCATATAAATTCTGCACGGCGGAACGTCAGGAATACGATTCACAGAGATGCTCTTACCCATATCCCTTGTGGCTGCTCTCGTGCTCCCCATCTACGCCCTTGCCAGTCAATCCACTAAATGCCTCGCGCTGCAACATGATCTTCATCTAGAAAATACGACAATTCTCAATGTGACGTACATCTCCGCTGCAACAAACGTCTCTACACCCGGGGTATGTCAGTCGACTGCACCAGTCACCGCTGCGCCTCTCTGCCGGGTCCAATTCGTCATCAACACGACTTCAAGCTCCGCCGTTCATGCAGAGGCGTGGCTTCCAGACACCTGGTTCGGGAGATTCTTAGGACTAGGAAATGGCGGCCTAGGCGGATGTGTGTTCTCACCCTAAAAGTTTAACGGGACGTGATAAATCTCTTTCAGGTATCGATTACGCGAACCTGGACTATGGCACCTCGCTCCATTTTGCCGCCGTAGGCTCAGACAACGGTCACGACGGGTCCGATGGCTTGCCATTCCTCAACCATCCAGAAGTAATCAATGATTTCGCGTTCCGCGCTATTCACGTCGAAGCCATCATCGGAAAGCAGATCGTTCAGACTTACTATAGGACAGCGGCCGCAAAATCGTATTATCTTGGCTGCTCGACAGGAGGGAGACAAGGAACTCAGGCCGCGCTTAAATTTCCCGAGGACTTCGACGGCATCGTGGCAGGCGCACCGGCGACGGACTTCAATCACCTCACCATCTGGCAGGGGATCCTGTCCCATTATGTTGGTGCTCCAACTTCCGCCACCGCACCCTCCCCAAAATTTCTGTCACCCGAGGCTTGGGCCATTGTCTCTGCAGAAATTTTGCGGCAGTGCGATGCACTCGACGGCGTCGTTGACGGGATTATCAGTGAGCCAGATGACTGCGACTTCCGTCCGGAGTCGATCCAGTGTGTTGAGGGCACCGCCACGAACTGCTTAACGGCGACGCAAGTGGAAACGGTCAAGAATGTGTTCACACCGCTCTTTGGATTGCAGGGCGAGCTGGTTTATCCGCGCTACTCTCCGGGTGCAGAGGCAGACCCGGGCCAATCGGCCATATTGGGCGGCGCATTCTTCTCAATTACTGAGGTATGGACTCTTGTCCGAGTCTGGGGTGGTGAGATCAACCTGCTGATTTTGAGAATAGGACTGGGGACGATTCGCCATTTTGAATGTTACCGAGAATGATTTCTCCAACTTTGGCCTGGAAGCTGTTGCCTTCTGGGATTCAATCAACCCAGGAGGAATTGCCACCTTCGACGGCAACCTCTCGGCTTTCCGTAATCGGGGCGGAAAATTGCTCACGTACCACGGCCGCCGAGACCCAGTATGTACTTTAATTTCGGGGATCGTACCTCTCTGAAAGAGAGCATCCCAGCTCATCTCGTCAACAAACTCCAAGCGCGTGTACGATCTTGTATCGCACACCCTCTCGTTACAGCTTCTCGATGACTTCTACCGCCTGTTTCTCATTCCAGGGATGGGGCATTGCGCAGGAGGGCTTGGTCCCACCTCATTTGGCCAATCAAATGGCCTCAACCTCGTCAACGACTCGTCTCATAATATATTGTTGGCAATGGTCGACTGGGTGGAAGGTGGGATTGCACCGGCCACTATCATTGGCTCTGATACTGCCAATGCGACGCGAACGCACTGCAGGTATCCCATGCGGAGCGTGTTCAATGGGACGGTGTTCGTTTGTGAGTAGGCCGCGCAAACGGGAGTAAGGAATATCACGTGGAAACACTGAACTTGACGTCGATACGGCCTGACACTGATTGCATACAATCCAAATACTTCCTCAGAATCTTTTTGAATGTCCTCGGGAGAGTCCTTTCAGAGATGGTAGCTGTGGATCGCTCGAGTTGTGTCTGTCGCGTATTTTTTCACGGATACAACAGGACGTTCATGTAGTCAGTTTGTCTGATGCCTGTGAGGGGATCAGTTGAACTAGCTCTGGATTTGGTTTCCGATGTTGCAAGAGAACAGGCCCGGTGAATTATATAATTCAGAAGACTTTTGGAAGACTTCTCAAACTTTATCTCGCTGGGAACTTGTGACGGGGAGCAGATGGCTGGATCCCGGCACACGAGAGTTTCGAGTTCGGACAAAAATTAACTGGGGTAGATTAACTGAAGTATTCGACATACATGCTGCGTTTATGTATAAGTATCTACGGGATAGGAGTGGAATGGAGATGGATTGGTGTAAGAATAGATATGAATAGGATGAGTAAGGGAATGAATAGAACGGGTGTAATCGGTCGAGGTACGAGGGCGACGTCAAGGATGAAGGGATTGAATGGGTAATAGAGTAGATGGGATAAAGAAATGGCGATGATAGGGAGGGACGAGGGATTGATGTGATTACCATATCGGGGTGATGTGGTTGACAAAAAGATGGATGCGAAGGCGTACCAGTTACAGAACTCGAACCGGGCATTTGGTTATACGCTCCCCTGTGAGCCATGGGACGGTGTTCATGATGATCGGTGTGTGGTCGGCGGAAGATACAGACACGAGTGACCACGCTGATACAGCTCGACTATGCTGTTGATTCAAGTCAGATTGTCAACGCTTATACACGGGTGGAAATAGGTATAGAGTGTAGGAGAAATGAACAGAATGGGATCATGGAAAGGAAAGTGAAGGGCGAAAAAGTATGAACAGTGATTACAGCAACCTGCAGTCGGTGAAGAAAAGACGGACGAAGGCAGTGAGCAAAAAAATTGAGTTACACATGCACTACTGCATAACAGAGTCTCTTGTCATTCTTGTGGCTATTTGCTTAGTCACATTGTCCTCATACCGGTCCTTCTCATCTACAATCTCCTCCGAGAGAATCTCCTCAATGATGTCTAGGGAACAACGACAGATGGTTGCGTTTAGAAAGACTGCAGTGCAATGGCTAGATAGAAAATGCACCTTCGAGTGTGAAGACGCCAACAGCGTCCCCTCGTTTTCCTGGCGTTAAACTGACTAGGAGGAGGTGCGCGCCCAGGTTGGCTTTGTGTTTGTCCATTGTCCGTCAGGAAGGCGTTCCAAATAACAGTAGGGAACAGAAGAGGGGAGAAAAGACCTGGTGGTGTAAAGCAACACACCTGCTATGCATGGAAAGGAACGTGAAGATAATCGCATAATTGGCAGGAGATCCCCCGTTCGATTCGGGGTCAGGTCATATCGCTGCAAGATATCTTTCTTTCAACTATTACTCGGAAGGCCTGCATACCTAATAAAAGTGTTGAATAAAGCGGAGGACAAGAATGGGAATAGGAAGACCTGGTGGTGTATGTTCACACACCTGCTATACATTATGCCATCTCAGCTTGCCATTTGGCAGGAGATTCCTGTTCAATTCAGGACCAGGTCATAGGAATGCTAGAGTATCCTTTTTTCTGTTGAGCTCTACTGATCAGGTGAGTGTTTTTACATACTGTTGGTCTACACGATAGGCGGTGCTGCTTCCGAAGTTCCTGAATTTTGCTTTTAGCTGTGTGTGACACGCTGCACTTTCGCTGAGTTGAGTTATTGGATGCTGGGTGAGTATAATTAAGGCATAGGGTATGGGATGAGAATAGAAAGAACACGACCTGGTGGTGTAAGATAACACACCTGCTATATTTTCGCCGATCCGATATACCGTCAGCAGGACATCCCTGTTCGAATCGGGGCCAGGTCATAATCAACTTCCGGAAAGTGTTTGCCCCAACTCGGGGGTATTCAGGTGTGTGTCTGTACGGTTGTAGGACAGATGATGATATTTGCTCAATTTGCTGGTCACCCGGCTCCAGTGCGGTGAGGTATTTGTTTCGACATTGAAGCCTGGGAGTCTTTGATTCTGGACAGGTGGATAAGGCGGGACAGTAGAAGAGTAAAAAGACCTGGTAGTGTATGATAACACACCTGTTGCACATAATTCTTTGCAGGATGATTCGACAGGAAAACCCCGTTCGATTCGGGGCCAGGTCATGGTCCGACGTGAGACTTTCGTATTTTTTTCTACAAGTTCTGCCGGCGGGGTGATAGCTGCGTCTCATATACTTCTTCGGTTTTGTGGTGTTCCAAAGTTCAAGGCAGGGAACATCGATGTGGCTGCCACGTGCGAAGTTTGTGTGGTTTAACTGCCGAGGTTTGATTGAGAATAATTTAAAAAAGGCCTGCACAAGTGTGGAATAGGCAAGGGACCAGGGTGGGGTGACACGACCTGGTGGTGGATGGCAACACACCTGTAATATCTGATATGTCTGTATATAGGATAATTTGGCAGGGGATCCCCGTTCGAATCTAGTCTCTCGCAGACAGACGCTTCAATATTACCTGATCTCGTACCTCGATATATTGAAGTCTGTTGGTAAGCGCGGGGGTCCGATCAGGGTAAAACCTTGTTACATAATCTGCACAGCCACACCGCCGGTTTTCGATGTTTTGTGCCTACAGGATACATAATTAAACTGGTTTTTGGTGCAGATGAATATATATTAGTGCACTAAATGTTCCTGCCTGCTCAGATTTTTTATCTAGAGCTCAGAATCCAGATGGATGAAGCGCCGAAGCATGACATGTGACTATCAATTGTGGTGCACTTCGACCCTCAAACAGCACTCTAAAAGTTCAAATAAATTGGAGGAGCTTTTAAGTGGTGAATAAAACATTCTGTATGCAAGAATCTCTCGAAAATATTGATGCTAGTTTCGCGGTCGTCTTCCAAAGAACAGTGTGGCTGTGCTGATTATATAACAAGCTCTTACCCTGATCGGACCCCGCCGCTTAACAACAGACTAGTTCGAATCAGGGTCAGGTCATTTCCGATGAGCATCAATTTCTCTTTTACAAGGTCTGCCCGTGGTGTATCCGCTTTTTTCTCGATGTGTACAGCTGTATCCGGTACGTACCCGAGTTTGGGGTTGGTTTCTTGATTTTTCGATGGCAAGATCTATCTTTGGATATTGAATATTTGAGCCCTTTGTTTTTATCTACCAGCACAGAAACTTTACTGTGGTATTGGGGGAAATAAGAGGGAGAAAGACCTGGTGGTGGCACACCTAGATGGCAGCCAAAGAAGTTTGTAGGAAAACCCTGTTCATTTCGGGGCCAGGTCATGGTCAGAGGTGATACTTCGGTATTTTTTTTCTACAAGTTCTGCCGGCGGGTGTTTTTGTTCGGATATTGATAGCTGTGTCTCATACTATGATACTTCTTCGGTTTTGTGGTGTTCCAAAGTTCAAGGCAAAGAACACCGATGTGGCCACCACATTTGAAGTATGTGTGGTTTAACTGCCGAGGTTTGATTGAGAATAAGTAATAAAGAAAGGCCTGCACAAGTGTGGGATAAAGCAAGGGACCAGGTAGGGTGACAAGACCTGCTAGTGGAATGGCAACACACCTGTAATATCTGATATGTCCGGACTCTGTATAGAGCATAATTTGGCAGGAGATCCTCGTTCGAATCGGGGTCAGGTCATTCCATGGGAGAAAAATGGTTTTTTTGCACATTATCATTTTTCAGGCACCTACCTACCCATATCCAATACCCAATTTCTTTCCTAACCCGCCGCCACGACGGTTGAGTTGAGGGAGTAAGTACTTAAATTGATACCGATAAGATCATCGTTATCTGATTGCGGGACTTGACACGAGTTTGGCATCGACGCTGTTGATCGCTTACGCCGAAGACCGAACGCGTCCGAAGGCGCGTCTGACCTGAAGTGAACGCCGAACCACGGTTTCTGGTTGGTGCTATATCGCCCTGGTACAACGTCATACGCTACGCTACTGTACATCTCAAGTCGACGCTGTTGCAAGCTCGCGGCCAAGAGGGCAAGGACGAGAAGGCAGAAGGGTTAGTGAGAGCGAAGCGTGTGTACCTGAAGGTGTGTGCAGTCGTACTAGGATGCATCCCCTCATGTGCGCTTAGATTACGCACAAGCGAGATGGAAAGAAGAGACAGCAGAAGGAAGCGCGAGCGAAGGATGCGGACATCGAGGGCGACACGGGGCTGACGGCTGCGGCACTGGCGGCGACGAACGAGCTGCTCGCGACGGCGAAGGAGCTGTACCGGTCGCTGGGCGGGGGGTCGGAGGACGAGGGCGGGGACGCGGCGGGCGACGACGGCGACGACGACGACGACTCGGAGTACTGGCGGCGGGTGCGCACGGACCCGTCGTTCGCAGCGCGCGTGCGGGAGGCAGCGGCGGCGCTGGCGCCGTCGTCCGTGGACCGGGCATACAAGATGGTTGATGAAAAGATTTCCGTTGGCCTCGAATACACGCATGAATCGACATCTCTCTTCCATTCCTTCTCTCATTCCTCATGGCTGACCAAGCATGTCGTCCGACCTTACCCGCCCACCCCGGGGACATCATTAACAATGAGTGGTCATGCGTTGCACACCTGTCGAAAGTGGGATCGGTTTTCCGAATGAATTACGTAGGCCGCTATGGAGGCGGTAGGGGAGAAGGGAGCGGAGAACCGCCCAGCAGCAATAGAGAGGGTAGCGATACTCTCGCCTACGCTTGCCTGTGTTCTCCTGAATGCCGCAAGCCAATTGGCCAAATCAGGAAATATAATTGCCGAATCGGGACTCAAAAAGTAACAAATCGCGATCCCGACCGTGTAGGAGCAACAGGGATGCGCGTATGGATGTGCGTTATGGAGAATAGGTGGATTGGTATACAACAGCAAATCAGAGATGTAGGCAGGGAGATAGACAACAATAACGCGAGTGACAGTCGTGACTAAATATCTCGCTGATATCGCGAAGTGAAGTGCATTAACAACGGCGAGGGCCAGGACAGCAGCAGCCCGAGAGGGTAGCGCACCCGCTCCCAGGTCCCTCTCCCCCGCCTCCCATCCCCGCCCGCTTATGATGCTCTACGAGTGCAACACCGCGAGTTGCGTAAGGGATGGGCCGCACGATGAGCGAACCGCAGTGCGCGCAGCCTCTTCCTCTCACTACGCCCCACTCATGCTTCTTCGACCCCTCGACGTTCTACCTCCCACAGCGCATCACCTGGGCCAGAAGGAAACAAGGACAGGGTATCGCGTGAGCGAGGAGGACGCAGGGCAGCCCGAAGGCAGAAAAGTATAGCCGCGCGGGGTGGGGGCGGGCGACGAGCAATCCCTCACCACGCGCACCTAAGCGCTCGCGGCAGGCGCGGGCGTTCACGCTTCTTTGGAGAAGACTTGCTGCTTGGAGCTGCGATGAGCAAGCGGGGGAATTGAATGTGTCGGATGACCGAGCCATTCTCGTCGTCCGTCATCCATCCACTCCATCTACGCAACATTATCTTCCCTTTCTCCCTCCCCCCCCCACTCTTTCACTCCTCCGACTCGGAAGATCTGAGATTTGGCATCATCCAGCTCGCGCACGGCGCGATCTCCGCCCCCTTGCTTTCCATCCTTTCATGCTGCGAATAAGAGGAGCCCCAACGGGAGGGCGTACAGCACCGCGGGCACCACGCGGACCCGCCATACATCGCGCGTCGTTGTGTACCTGAGCCCTCGGACGACAAACGTGGTGGACAGGAGGACAGACTCTGGATATTCAACCGCTTCGTTTCTCGATACATATCGCCCGCTGCATGCTGTGGAATCCAATTTTGAATCCAATGACTCATGAGGCGCAATCAGGGCCGAGTGCTGGGAGAGAGAAGCGAGCGGAGATGACGTGCCCGCTCCGAATCCATCCCGGGATAAGCCATACGGTGGCCGCAGTGGCAGCGCAAGCCAAACGGGATGGAGAGTACGAGCTTCGAGGACCGAGCGCGGTGTGCGGCGAACGCGAGCTGTACGAGACACACAGCGCTGCTACGTCATTCGTGGCGTTATCGTATCGCGAATACCGCATTTCAGATGCGGTACCCGTCGGCGAGCGTGCAGACATAGCACAGACAGTGAGAGGCGCGACCGCAGCGACCGGCGCGCGGACCGGATTGAATGCGGTGGATAGTGGCTGTGACCATCAGCATTCCGGCGCGCGCATATTCAGGCGCAATGGGTGAGGTGGAAGGATTGCACGGCGGAAAAGGGAGGAAGTACGTCGTGCGGGGATGGTGACTGGGAACAAGGATCTCGAGAACGGATGGGCTGTGGACATGATCCAGAGACGACCTGCGAGCACAGTGGCATGAACGCTGGGGCGATGGAGGAGATGAACGGCCTACTATGGCTCGGAGTCGG